CTGGTTTTCAATAGAACCTCCAGCTGTTAAATGTCTTCAGGATTAATGGCTTGGATGCTACTATAGTTTTTTTAATTATTATAAATTGGCAATAATTCACAAAGCTGCTTTTCTGCCCATTAGCCTTCACCTCATAGTGTTCATGGAATATACTGCAGCCCTGCCGATGGAAACCCTATATTACTGACTGCAGGCTCTGATATGAAGATCAGGTAATTTCCAAGAAACATTCATAACTGTATCTCAGCATTTCACTGTCTGTGATGCCCTGACCTGGGTAGTACAGGCTAGCCCAATCTCGTCAGATCTTAGAAGCGAAGCAGGGTCAGCCTTGGCTAGTATTTGGAAGGGCAACCTCTTAGGAATACCAGGGCTGTGACAGAGGCAGGCAATGGCAAACCACCTCTGAAATGTGTCTTGCCTTAAAAACAAGCCTAGTTCACCACCTAGTGGTGCATAATGCTAAAAGAGAACTTCTGGCTGCCAGACAATCTTAGGATCTCCTGACTATACTACATACAGTAAGGTAAAGGTTAAAGGTAAAGGTTCCCTTGCTCAAAAGCCAGTCGAATCCTACTCTAGGGTTGCGGTGCTCATCTCCGTTTCAAAGCCGAAGAGCCAGCACTGTCCAAAGACATTTCCGTGGTCATGTGGCCGGCATGACTAAACACCAAGGCGCACGGAACGCTGTTACCTTCCCACTGGAGTAGTACCTATTAATCTACTTGCAATTTCTTGCTTTCGAACTGCTAGGTTGGTAGGAGCTGGAACTAGAGACGAGAGCTCACTCCATCATGCGGCACACTCGGGTCTCGAACTGCTGAACTAACAACCTCCCACAGCCTGCAGTTCAGCATCTTAACCACTTGAGCCACCGCAGCTCCTCTACACACAGTACTACACACAGTACCATACTATAATACTGTAATACTAATTATTACCATCTTTGATGTTCTTGTTTGCATCAAACCTGTCAGAAGTAAGACAGTACCTTTTCTGAGGCAGTGTTTTTTCTACTTGTCTGTAAAGGTGGAACTCCTAGATTATGTCCAGGGCACGTTCCAGATTGGTGGAACAGGGGAGCCTTCCTCTGGGGGAAGAGGTGTTTTCCACCAAAGGAAGGCTCTACCTTTAGTGGAACAGAACCTTTGAATGCAACTCAGTAGTTACTGGGTACATGATATCTTCAGTAATGCAATCCTAAACAGAGTTACCCCCTTATAAATCCATCAAAGTCAATGGGCTTAGAAGGGTATAACTCTGCTTAGGATTGCACTGCTGTTCTTGAATTTAGAAATCACTGAGTAAGGAAGCCTCCGGTTTGCAAGATCTGAGCAAAACCATTAATGATAGGATGTTTTGGAGGTCATAAATTCATACAGATCATAAATTGGAAGTGACTTTGATGGCACATAACACACATAAGTAGGGGTGGGCAAAAAATAAAATAAATTTGGCCCATTCGGATTCCTCTGAATCTGGCAGAATCAGTTTTGGCTGGCAGTAAGACTCCTGCATGTCAGTTTCGTCAGTACAAGCGGATTCTGTCTTTCCCCAGCCGAATGTCAATTTCAGCCCTGTTATATCCTATGGGCCATTGAAGTCAATGGTGAAAGCATAGGGTATATTCTGGGGGCTGGAGGGGAGGAGGTTTGAGGGAGAGGCTCCAAAATCGCAGGGTAGCTGCTGGAGCCTCTCCCAAAGATACTAACCAAGTTTGAAGAACATTGGACCAGGGGGTCCAATTCTACGGGCCCCCAAACAGGTTGCCCCTATCCCCTCCATTGTTCTCTATGGTGGGGAAAAAGTTAATTTTTTGGTCCCCTGGTCCAATGTTCTTCAAACGTGGTTCATATCTTGGGGAGATGCTTCAGCAGCTACCCTGCGAGTTTGGAGCCTCTCCCTCAAGCCCCCA